CCATATTGACAACTCTAATTACAGTGAACCCATTTAGCATGCAATCCTCTCACTAAAAGTTATCCTAATACTCACTTAAGTAAGACAAAGAGACTTCGCCCATACACCCTCTCTAAGCACACCTAAATGATCCTAAGGACTACCTATGATGAGACAAATACACAGACATTACACCAAAACACATAATATGAGATCCTTTAAACTATCAAGAGTAAAGATCATTCTCACTTCATACAATAACATATATATAATATGACATTCTCCTCACAAAGGTTATCAAAAGACTTAATTAAGTAATTCAAGAAGAGAACGCCCATACAGCCTCTCCAAGATTACTTAAGTAATCCTTAAGACTACATAAATTTAGATCATGTCTAATATATCAACCAACTTTCCTATCTAGAGTCATTCTTAAGACTTCCTAGGTAAGACATGAAGAAATGATCATTCTTATGCTCCCTTCACACCTTGACTAGACAACCTTTAAAATATTCTAGGTAAGTACAACTCAAGTCATTTTCTTCATTAGTTAATTAAGAGATCTTCATCATATAAGGACATTCAAGTAATGGTGTTGGAGAAGACCTACAGACTCACTCACTAACATCTTCAAAGTCTATTGTGCAATGTCAAGATAGCGTCCCATACCACCACCTAAACTTTATAGAACATCTCCAACACTAGTGGGTATCCCTATGATGAGAATAGGCAATAACCGACATATACCATGGTATCTAGGCATGGAATCTGGAGTTGAAACCTACTTTTATGGAGGGTGTTCTACTTGCCAATGGTAGAACTTAGACACATCCCATGAAGGCACATGGCTAAGGAATATGAAGAGTTTCTTTGTACTCTAGGCTCATGCTTAAGTAAAGATACTCCCCTAGACATACTAACTCATTACTAGACTTTGTTCTCGTAGAGTATTTCAATAAAGGAGTACATGAAGAGGTTTCATATCTAGTTCATAACCCAATCACATTCACCTTACCAAAGAGGTCCCCTAGGCTTGCCTTACAATGGTAAACAGGATATCTTAATGATTTTCCTAAGGATGATTTCATGTTGTTCCAGCCAACCAACCTTAAGTTCATCATTCACACAAGAAGGATACCATTATGCCTTTCGACCTAAAGGATATCATAACCTTACAACTAGGTTGAAGGCTACACATAAAGGACCTCCATAGCAATATCAAAGGTCACATGTCATTCATACATACAAGACTAAGAGGATTTAGCATCCTAAGTCGAGAAGTCATATTCTCATTATACATTTATCAAGTAAGGGACACATGTCTAGCAAAACATGACACAACATACTTCACCTATAACATATTATTCTAGAAGCACATAGGCATAACCAACATCATCTTTAGGTCACCCAATCCACTACTATAATATCATCAATATAACCACCATAAGACTCAAATAACCAAGTAGGAAAACTCATGCATAAACTCTAAGGCTACAGACATAAGAAAGTAGTCATAGTCTAACATGATCATCTAATATCAATATAAGACACACATACTTTCACATAACTCACAAATACATAGATATGATCATAATTCATATAAACCAACTACACAAACCATCATAATATATAAAGTAATGCCTAAAGGCCATTATCATCATAATGCATAAGTAACTCCGAAAAGGCCACATAATTCACAATTAAAGCACATAGCAACGCCACCATAAGTGGACCATACCAATAACAACATAATTCAATAATTCACATAAACTAAATAGAATTAGGGCAGCGTACCACCAATCCATTCTCACCACTTCAATCCATAGCTAAATCGTCCAATACAATACGAAAAGGCCCTTACCCATGGTCATGATCATCAATTCATTACAAAAATCATAATACTCAATAAATATAAATCAATTCTATATATATTTATCAATTTAAGTCAGTCTATACGTCAAATAAAATACTTACATCATTCAATAACCTGAAGAAAACTATACTAGAATTCATAAGCATTGAGACATGATAATAACACCCATAATATAGCCAATTTGAAGAGTTTATGTTTTGCATGGGTTCATGAATACTTTAGATTAAAATCATCAAATTAACATTAATTTAAATCAATTTTCAATGATTCAAAACATTTTATGCAAGAACCCATGGCTAGATCACAAGTTAGAAATCTATCTTTTGAGAGAGTCTTTGAAAATCACTTTGAAGATTGGCTCCATGATGAGTGAAGTTTCAAGGAAAAAAATCATACCTTAAGTGATTTTAATCCACGAAAATTGAGAGAAATTGGTGGAGAAATCAACCTTCAAGCTTCAATGTAGTTCTAGAGAGATCTTTAGAGGTTTTGATTTTGATATTAGCATAATGAATTCATCTAGGTGTTTAGGACTTATAAACCTACTTTAAAAACCTATATACCCTTAGGAAACCACCCATACATTTATTTGGACGTAGGGTGAATCTATTCACCCCTTCAATAAATAGTGAAGCAGGTGAATTGCATGCCCCATCGACGCCTGATCACCTACGGACGTCACCCAACCAACAGACTGTCCTGTTGGTCCGTCGTTTGGGTCACAGACTGGTACAAAGGTATGGCAACCTCCCACACCTAAGTATAAAGCTAATCCCCTAACCTACGGCTTCGACTGACCTACTGGTCGTCGATTTCCAACCGTAGGTTGGGCTGGTTTGACAGCTTTAGGCTCTTATGAAGGGTCCTTCCTCAAGGACCCTTGGTTGGTCCATAGGATGTTTTCCCAGACATTTTCAAGCCGAATATGTTCATATACGAGTTTAGGACCTCTCACGTCAATTTCATTAGGAACGAACACATACTACTTGACGAAACATGCTAAGACACACAAGGTCGTTACAAGGCAAACCTCTCGAACGTCATGGACATTCTTGGACGTTTAACCTCCAAACTTCATGAACCTTAACATTCTGCCTATAAACACTATTATTACTCATAAAAGACCTCTTAAGATCATGAAACACACATAATCACATAAAAACACATAAGGCATATAGGCGACTAGTTGTCGAACATCTTGGTCGTCCCTTGACGTTTGACTTCTAATGCACCTAAATATTTAGACACTACCTCATTACCACATTATAAACCATATTAGTACCTTATACCCTCATTACAAACATGTAAGGATATAGTTTCACCGAAGTCGTTTTACAAGTATTACAATATGGAAGGATGTATATAACTTAAAATTTATGTACCACCGTCATAACTCACATTAGTAGTTTGTTATATTGTGGTGTATGATGGCATTATAAAGAGAAATATTTTATGTGCAACTAACACTTATGAAATATTAATTTTATATGGTCATTGAGCCAAGTGGGAGAATGTAAGAATTATTATTACTTATCATTAATTTTTTCTTACTTATGGCCCAAGTTTAATTTTAATTCAAGTAAGACCATATATATTATTTAATAAGGAATAGATCTCATCCGTACATTGGTTACTTGATTGACGTACCAAATTAAATCATAACCCCTATAAATTGGTCCTTCGTCCACCCATTAGGGTTTATCAGACATTCTCTACAATAATTCCATCGTTGATGGTTGTGATAACATAAAGTTAGGGCAAGGAAGTAGAAATCAATTTACAATTAACGCTTTTGCTTTTCTCAGTGACGATGTTTTCTTCATCAGGTATGTTCCCCTAACGATCTCTATATAAGATTATCATTTTCAAGATCCTGATATTATATTATAAGGTATTTAATCTTACATTTTTAACAGTTACCTATATTTTAGGAATTACTACTACTATTTCCATAAATAAAAATTAAGAAAATAATGACATTTACATAAATATTAAATTGAACCCATAAATTTTATAATGTTTAATGACCATTAGGCATTAACGTTTCTTTGTTTTTCTATTTTTGCAAATCTATATTTTGTAATTTTTATTGTTTAAAAAATATATTTTTCAATGGCCACGACACTTGAGGGTTGTGTGTGTACAAAGAGAGAGAGATAATTTTCAGCAACACAAATATCTAAGGATTATTTAGACCACAAGTTTCAAAGTCTGTCTATTTTTCTTAAATAAAGTATAAGGTCAAAAGGCGTCACATAAAATGTAGTGGAGGAATTAATAAAATTTCTCTTAATATCTGATCACTATGTGTAAACACATTATTCTGGTCAACACTTTATGCAATTATTTCATATTGATTTGCCTCAAACTAAATAAGATTTTTTTCTAATGTGAGGTGACTGACAGGTTGGTGTATCGAATATTAAAAGAAATATATTTAAGTATAATTTAGTTCTTAACATATTTGAAAAATAGCATATAGTTTTTATTGAATATGATTTCTTCCAAAATTGGAAAAAATAGTAGTGAATTTTTATAAGCGCTGCAATAATTATAACATTTGAGATAATGCCATTTAATATTTAATAAATATTTATATTTAGAAATATTAACCATTAAATTAGTTATTTTCAGCATAATCAAATATCGTCGAAATTTATATTTCAATATTCTTAGTCAATATTGAAAGTATACACTAGATTTTTAGTAACGTACACCCACAACAAAAAAATATATATACATATTTTTTTTACTTTCTTAATGAAGGAAGTGAGTAAGAAAATAAATTTGTTATAATTCTATGACCATCTTTTGCGGGTACCACTTAGATTAGAATCACACTAAGTTTTTTCCTAATAAGAATTTTGACTCAAAAAATTGGCCAGAATAAGACTAGAGCCATAAACTGCATATATTTCAATAATAACATCTAATATTTTTATTTAATACACTTTCATTTATTTTTTTTCCATAATTGTTATTTACAACTAGGAATTTTCTAATTCAAACTATTCAAATTTTTACAGTCTATTTTTTCCAATAAATTGGAGTCAATCCAAGGCCATTTTTTCCAATAAATTGGAATCAATCCAAGGACAACAATAGCAAATTAAATTTTGAACAAACACATTTATCCTCCTCTTTAGCCATGCCTAGAAATAAAGTAATATTATCTTTGATTGAAAATGAATCTGATAGAAAAGTTTCATACAGGAAAGGAGAAAAAGGGTTCTTGAAAAAAGCTCATGAACTGAGCACTCTTTGCGATGTTGAAATTGTTGTTGTTATTGATAGTCCTTACAACAATGAACCTATGGTATTTCCAAATTATAGTGCCGCAATCAACACCTTTATAAAGTTTAAAGAGTTGCCAACGTTGGAAAAATCAAAAGATATGGTGACAAGAGAAGAGTTCACCAAAAAACGAATCGAGAAGATGGAGAAAAAACTACTAAAGGTAAGGAAGCAAAATAGGCTCAAGGAAATTACAAATGACATGTATGAAGTTACAAAAGGAAAAGATGTTTCCCCTAACATGGATCCTTACTACTTCAATGATCTGAGTTATGTGATCAAGAAAAACATAATGCAGATACGTAAAGCAATGAATGGTGAAGAAGTTTGTACAATAAATGTCCCTCAACCCATTGTTGAATCAATAATAATTGGTGGGACCAACTCTGAGGGGACAAAGGCTACACTATTGGCCCCTGCTAGTTCTTTACTACCGATGAATCCTCTAGAGTCTCCATCGATGGTTCATGGTGGAATCAACTTTGACAAGATGAAAACTCCTCCATTTGTACCTAATGTGGCTCCAACAATAGTTCCTTTATCTGCTTCTCCCAAAGTAACCCAACAAATGCTTCATCTAGCAGATCCTTCGAGGACTCCTATTAAGATGGTTCCTCTTATGAACACTTCGCAGACTAATCCTTCTCCTTTATTTTCTTCATCCATATTTCCTTCAATTGTTCCAAACTTATTTTCTACAATACCTCCACAAGCGGCTAGAGGAAATCCTGGAATGGACGTCTCAATGACTTCAACAACAATGTCTTCAATTATGCATTCACCAATGATAGTTCCTCCACTATGTACTTCACTAACACCGCAAACGGATCCTTCAGCTGATCTCTCCCCAATGGGTTCATCCATGCCAATTAATAACCACCAAAACTATACAACTAACAGTCCACAGAGTCCTCAATTGTCTGAGTTACTAAATTGGAATAATGATGATGTAGTGACTTTATTAGAGGACCCATCATTACACAACATTACTGCTCAAGATACGAATCATACCAACAATACCTAAAGACTTTAGGACCAGTATCTATCTCTTTTAAGTAGTATTATTTTATATGTCCTGGCTGTTCGCGTGGATTATTTGTGTTTTTACATGTTTTCATGTTTAAGTTCTGTCATAGTACTCTCTACATCTCTTTTTATTTATCCTTATTTTATGTGTCCGTCTTTTCTGCTTTTTTTTAAAGTTTGTCATTTCACTAATTTAATATATGGTCTATTTATAAATATAATCGATACTCACATATATATTTGCACTTTTATTATTATTTTTTAAATGTTGTTATTAGTATGGTTTCCACATATGACCTCTTACACTTCAAAATTCTTAAAAATCAATTTACATATTGATCAAATTTTCATTCTAAAACCTTTCATTGTGAATTAATATCACATCTTAGATTGAAAATGAACTTAAAAGTTAATGAAAATTATCAAGAAAACCTATTTAATATTTATATTAAAAAAGATTATATCTATTTATATTACTCTATGTATCATAATATTGAATTGGAACTCATTTATGCTTGTAACAATTAGTCAATACAAGATTTAACTTTAATAAACTCTGTGAACATTATTGGGATATTGGTAAAGCCAAAAAACATGATTAGGATTTCATAATGGACGTCTTCATGAGTCATAAAAGGAGTCTTTGGGATGTCTACCACCTTATCGTCTTATAGTGCTAGTTGAATCTCAAATCTATTTTGAAGAACATTCTTGCACTCTGAAGCTAATCAAAGAAATAATTAATACACATCATCAGGTACCTATTCTGATTTTCATCTTGTTTAGTGACTTGTATTAAGTAACACATATGTTAGGTACCACCCTTCTTTTTAACAAACAAAACAAAAGCACTTCACAAAGACATATGAGGCTTAATGAACCCTTTACTCAAAATCCCTAGAGCCTCTCATTATTCTCTCTCAACTCAGCTAAATCCATATGATACGATAGAATAGAACTGGGTTTTGTGCCTTGCTAGTATCACAAACATAGGCAAGAAAGGCTAGTCAAACCTTTCCTACCACCCATAATGCCCTCATAAATGAATTCACACCCCTCGACATACAGCTATTAACACATGTCCACGCGATTGGAGGGATAACTGTCGTGCATAAATTATTATCTAAGAAAAGAAACCCAAGACCTCATGATGAGAAGATAATCAATCCGTGCTTATAAGCTTGACCAAATACAAAAGAATCACCGATGGGTATAGTTAAATGCATGGGCATATACTCAAATAACACATATAAATGTATATCATGAAAGTCAATGACAAATGAGTAAGTAGATCCCTCATAAAACAAAGAAAAAATAGAGTAATGAGAGATGAATATTATACATGTAATGATGGCATCTGAAGCCTCTACCTCTAGCCTACCCAAAAAGGCATACATATGGCCGAGTACACCTCGAAGACCCGACCCGCCTACGAAGGACCACCTGAGAATCCTACATACAACCCCTGCTACCATGTGCACCCCCTAGTCAACTTTACCAGAGCCTTGAGGCCAGAACCTGATGACTATGTTGCCTGCACTGACTGACTATGGGAAAATATCTAACGAAAGTAGTCCAATATGTGATGTACTATGGTTTCACGGTACTCTCAATATTTTTTCCTTAAGTTCAGTGTGTGTCTAAGGCCTTTTTGTATTGGTTTTAATGTATTTTTCTCTTTGTTTGTAGGAAATTTGTCTAGAAGAAGAACGTGGTAGAATTATGCTGAAAATTACAGAAGTGACGACATACAGAGCCATCGACAGTCTGTCGTGATCTCGACGGTCCGTAGGTGGCCACCGTCGTACGAAGAAAATGGCTGCTAAAGGAAGTTGGGGAATTCTGACCAAATGTGGGGCTACAGAGGCTCTCAAGGGACTGTCATAGACACGATGGACCGTCTTGTAAATCCGCCAATTTTAACAGAAAGTAGCCCCAGTACCCATCTTTAGAAAATTCTAAGTTTGGACGAACGGAAGACATCGACGGACCGTCGTGCATGCAACGGATTGTTATCCATGTTCGTCGATGGTAACAGAAAGTTAGTGAAGAAACCAGCAGAAAAAAAAGTTGAAGTATGGAACGACGGAGGGCCTCGACGGTCCGTTGTGACCTCGACGGTCCGTCGTGTACTCGACGGTCTGTCTCTCTAGTCGTCGACTCAGAAGCGTTTTTTATGCAGATTTTCCTTAAATAGATTTCCCTCTTTTGTTAGGACTCTATTATTATAAATACTTGTAAAATCCTCATTTTTGGGGTTAGACTCTAGAATATTTTCTAGTTTTATTGTTCTAAGTGTTGAATATTGGGATTTTATGAAAATTACTTTAATTTTCCGAATCGTTTGTTGCAAGTTTTTGATTAATTCAAGTAATTTTCTTGATTTTATTCAATCTCATCAAAGTAAGTGCATGAATTCTTATCTAATTAATATGAATTGTGTGATTATTAACATGGGTAACTAAACTCCATAACTAGGGTTGTGGAACCATGGATAAATAAAAAGGTAAAAGCTAGCTAAAATAACAATTCTCGAATAGTGTCTTGCATGTATTGATAATTCTTTTGTTTAGAAGTCCTTTTAACGAGTGCACGCGTTAGAAATCTTCTTGTTGCTACTTGCCGGACCAAGGAGGTAGATAATAAGAAAAGAATTATCAATGTAGATTTAGTATGCACTATCTAATAGCATAGTATCGGTTTGTGCAAAGTAACAACTAAGACAAACATTGATTATGATGCTTAATATGAGTTAAAGGTAAGGTTTAGTAAAGCATACACATGTAGCTGGACCAAAGTGCGGAGTGAAATTTTCTAGTTGTCGGACCAAGAAAAATTAGGAATACATAATTTATCACTTTGCATGCAAGATACTAGGAAAGGATTGTTATAACTAAAATCACCGTGTTATGAACCTATGGGAACACTTAAGCACTAGTTACTATCATTACTTGATAAAAATCAAATCTTTGAACCTGTTACTTATTTACTTAGAAATAGTTAATTACAGTTTTTGCTTAAAACCAAACTTTTTGTTACTTGTTTCTTGGAAAGGAATTGACTAAATAGAAGTAATAATAGGTTAAAGTTAAGTCTAAATCATTTTTCTTGTGGGATTGACCCAAACCTCATAGTTGGGTTCTTTACTTGATATGACTGCTTATACTTTTTTCGAGAAGTAAATTTGAGTGTATCAATATGTCACACTCATAACAGTCCCTTCAAGAAGCAAGTTGTTGAGATGACTCAACTAAACCCGACTGACCAACACAGCTTGAATACCTAGAATGTGAACCCATAGAGGATTGACCTAAATGTTGTCTTTCCTAACTAGCAACATTTGAAAATCCATCAAGTGTAGTCTATAAGGATGCCTAAACAAGTTTACTAGCCTGAAACTGTTATGGGTAACGTCTACTTGGAAACGGCTATCACAAAATTGAGACCCCATAAAATTACCCTAATAGTAGGGATTTTTGTCACTGCCTTCAGAGGACCATGACGTGCCCTTGAATAGTGTATGCATGGTTTATTACTTGAAGGAATAAATGACATGATGCTACAATCTACTTTGATGCCAAACGAAGGGGTAAATTCATCCCTCTATCTTATCTACGCACCCATTCGTACTTTGTCATCATAATCATAGTTGCATGATGGGCTAGCTCATTAAATCCATCTCATACTTAGAAATTGACATTGATCTCTGCAGTAAATATATAAACTCACCAAGAAACCTCTCCATCAATCTTCGAGGTACATACTTCTTCAACAAAGCCTCATATAACTAAGTCCATGTAATCAGATCTTGCTAGCTTGCACTTAGGATAAGACATCCTTACTACTTAGTTGGTCCATCCATATGGAAAGTCGTATCATCAACTTGTGTAGCTCCTCAAGCCCAAGGTCATGCAACCTCTCTAGGAAACTCATAAATATTTTGTGGGCATCCTTTCCTGAAGCATCAGAGAACCTTAAAAGGACTAAACTCAATAAATTACCCCAATATATTATGCTTCTTAGAAGACATAATTGGCCCAATTTCCATAGGCAAATCAATTGATAACACCGACAAAACCACTAAGTGAGGAGTTGTAGTAGCAGATTGCGCCCCTAGTGTTTGAATACCTTATTTTTGTATAACTGAATATATTAATCATTCCATGACCCGAGGAAAGAAACGGTGATTTTACATGTTGTTGAAGATGATGCACAAGATATTAACATGGTCGTATAGTTTATTAATCAACAAAAACCAAGGTTTTTCCAATATCAAGTTGACCCAAACCCTCCCATGAGGTCACCACCACATGTTCTAAGGCGTAAGAATCAAATTACAAAGTTTGGGAGTCATTACATACCTTTATCAACTATTACAATGGAAAACATATGAAAACTTCTGTAGGTCACCTCTGCACTTGGTGATAATGGGCAACTCTGCACTTGATGATAATGGAAAATGTTAGGGAGTTTTCCGCATTTTTAGCAACTTGACCCCCATCCCCCCCAATAGCAGTCTGATTCCCACTGTAGCGAGTGTTAATTTGTCTAAGTGTCTTGCACTATTAGAACGTAGAAATCCTCCAAAAGTGTCATTTCACAACACACCTTCAAACCATGACGTTCCAAAACCATCCGTTTCACGCCAAATTGATATCGGGAGTTCTATTCACCTGAAATCACTTTCAAAAATTCCTAGAGACTCCGAACCTCTTAGAAATAAAGAAAATAAATTATACTTAATGTTTCACCCAATTCTTTCCATGGATTGCCTAGGCCTCATCTCACTTAGATTTTATGTGAGCTGATCCTAGCCTTAAATTTTCAACTCACTATTCCAAAATTTTCTCACCTAATTTATATTATAATTAACTCACCAATAACAACTAGCAGGTTCATTACATGTATTGAAGAGCGGTCGATTTATTGTATCTATTTTAGCTTGTGCTAAAGACATGAGAGCAAACCATGTTATCTGCTCTCTATATATGTACCAAA